AAATGAAAATTTTGCCAAAGATTAATTTTTTGTTCTGGATGATTCCAGTTAAGTTTTATGATAAAGAATTAAAGGAAGTACAGAAGTTATTGGAAGTATATTGTAATGGAGGAAAGAGCAAGAATAAGTAATGTATTATGGTATGAATCACAAAAAAAAGGGAGGCTGGGTATTCCAGATGTTAAAAAGTATTGGGTTGCAAATCAATTAAAGATAGTTCCAGATACAGCCCAAAGCAAAGAACTAATATGGAGTGATATTGAATTAAAAGAATTAAGGGGAATAGGTGATCACTTAGAGACATACTGGTTTAAAAAGGATATACAAAAAAAATTAAGAGAATTCAAAGACCCTTTTTAAATAATAATGAGGGAAGTAGACAGCAATTAAATGGAGACAGCAATTAATGCCAGGAATTTCTCCATTAACACCAGTGGTCAAAATGGAGAAATTCCCAAAAATATAATCAAAGTATTTGATTAATATACTAAAAATAATCAGATATATAAAGGGAAGACTGAAAAAATAAGACAAAAATATAATACAATTAAGGAGTGTATTGGCAGGAGCCAAATTAAATTTGTTAAATTTAATACAATTAGGAAAATGGATAAAAATGGAGGGAAAATTTAAAGTGGAAGAAAAACAATTAACAAATGTTGAACGATTGTGAAAGAATGTGAGATTAAGGAAGAATAAACAGGTAAAGGAAGAATTGCCAAAAATTTATAAAATATTAATAGAATTAGGGGAACAGACAAAAAGTCTGAAATCGATTTGGGAAATGGATGTTGATGAAATAAAAGATGAGGATTGGAGGAACTTTTGGCTTATTTTATATTGTATGGTTGTATTTTATTCTTATGTTTACATTTTTAATTTATGATTATAATTATTTAATTTATTGTTGTAAGCCGCCCCGAGGCTTCGGCGAATGGGGCGGCATAAAAATGTTTTAATAAAAAAAAATTTAAAAAAATAGAAGAGTATATAAGAATATGTCGGTTAGAATTAAAGCACATGGATATAAAGTGATATGGTGATGGTATTTGACACCAGTCAAGTTAAACCAAATTGATGATAAATATTCTAATATTAGTTGGAGATGTGGAAAAGAGATTGGAACTTACAAACATATGTGGTGGGATTGTGATAATCTACAAAAGATATGGATTATGGTGTTTAATGAAATTAGAGAAATTCAAGATACAAATCTAGAAATGTCACCAGAAATTGCATTATTTCTGCTGATTGAAAAACCAGATATAAATGAAGTTAAGAAAGAATTGATCTTAAATCTGATAATGGCAGCCAGGTTTGTTGTTGTTGTTGTTAGTTGTGAAGTCGTGTCGTTTGTTGTTGTTGTTAGTAATGGTTAAATATTGGAAACAGAATTGGGTTACACAAAGGAATGAATGGTATAATGAAATATGGAATATGGTTGTTAATGATTATTATTATAACATTTCTATGCCACCCCTTGCCGAAGCCTCGGGGCGGCTTACAATGCAATAAAATACACTGAAATACAATAGAACATAATAAATTACCATTAAATACAAAAATACAAAAAAATACATTGAGTTACAAACACAATAATATAAAAATTATCAGTATAAAATAAGTAAATAAATAATATAGGAGGAGAAAAGAGAAGGAAGAAGAAGTTGCCCTGGCCAGATCATATATTTTAACAATTAAAATGATGTTTAAATAAAAAGGTCTTTACCTGGCGCCGAAAAACCAGTAACGACGGTGCCAGGCGGACCTCTTTGGGGAGTGAATTCCATAGGTTGGGCACCACCGCAGAGAAAGCCCTCCTCCGAGTACTTACTCTCCTAATTTCTTTCATGGAGGGTTCCCGGAGAAGGGGCTCTCCCATAGATCTCAAAGGGCGGTCGGGCATATACGGACGTAAGCGCTCATTCAGGTAGCCAGGACCCAAGCCGTTTAGGGCTTTATAGGTCAATTGACAACAGAAATAAAAAGGGGATAATAAAAGCAAATAAATATAATGAAATATGGGAAGATAATGTAAAAGGAGTACTGATGGAAGGGAAAGGCTGGGGGCCTAATCAAGAATATATGAATTTTTGGAGGGGACACGGGTATAACTAAAGTATATTATACATTGTTAATTGTTATATTGTATAAAGTAAAATGGAGATATAAACTGGTCTCCTGGGGAGTAGGCGCAAGATGTCTGTGTGTGTGTGTGTGTGTGTGTGTGTTAATTATCAGTTGGGTTGTAGATGTTAGTATTATTGATATATTTTGATGTGTATTGTATCTCAACTGTTTGTATTTATGTTCTGTTTAAAAAAAAGTAGAAAAATAATAATGCTTTCAACCAATTTACATGGAACTAAGATTAACCTGACTAGCTTGTAATTTCCTGGATCCCCCTTTAAAAATTGGAGTTTTATTAGCCATACATTGGAATTTTGCATATACAAAGTGGTCTGTGATCCATTTTTCATTTTCCATAATAAGACTGTGAAATAGGTCATTAATGTTTCCATTGTACCAGTGAACATGGCAGAATGGCAACACAGTAAACCAGTGAAGTATGGTCCATTACAGGCCCCTCACCCTACTTATAAGACCATACTGGTTTTCACAAAGCCAAGGGAGAGCTTTCAGTTAGAATATGATCCATTGCTCAGAGTACTATCACTGGAGCCAGCATGAATTGGAACAAAGCCAACAAATTAAAAAAAGAATTAGAAGAAAATTCACAGGGCACACCTCTACCCTCAACCAGATAAACAAAAGAACAGCTTCAATCCAGTGATCTGACACACACCAAGCTTTACTACCTGAACAAAGTGTCCTATTTATTTCAACAAAGAGGTAGTTCCACACAAATACACTGCCTCTGCACGCAGACCATTCAGATATGTCAAGCAACCAACATTAATCATTAGTTTCCACTATCAATATTCCATTCATGTTAGACTTTTCTCTGTGTGCTTAATCAGATAACTTTAGTTAAACTTTAATTAGTCATTGCATGGCTGGCTATTGTACAGCAATTGAGAGGTCTGGATCTGGCAAACAATTTGTTCTGAGCCATCCTCTGTAAGAAAGTATCAAAATTAATACTATACTGCAAGGGGATAACATTTTTTCTAAGCAATTTGGCACTGATGTTAGGTTATACAAAACTGTTAACCTTGTTACCTTGCTAGATTCAAGGAAGACAAGCCTCTCATTACCAAGTTTTCAAAGTGAAGCAGCTGCCCACACATAGTTGAACTTCATGTATGCACGCATGAATATATTTTAGCCAGTGATGTTCCTCCCCTAACTATTAGTTTACACTCATAATGAAAACATTTGCTTTTTAAAAATAAATGTGTTTTTTATATCTACTACACTTTCATCTTTTCAGTGGCAACACTGTGCTCAATTGTGCATAATAAGTATTGACTTTTTGGGCTGGGACAAGCAAAAGGTAAACCACAATACAGTCACCATGAGACAGCTTACTGCATAGATCTGTTCATTTTTAGCTGGTTGCCATTTAGTCACATCCTAAACTGCAATACCAAACAATGTTTTATTTGCAAGCTTCTTATAGTAACCACACACTAAAATACATGTGAGCTATCGGCAGACAACAAAAAATAACTCCGGGTGTGGAGAAGACACAAAACCACAACAAATTTAAGAATAATCTTAGATACAGTATATGAACAGGTTCAGGAGAGGTCTCCTCCTTTAAATGCACACATGTGGTATAACTGGGATGTTTATTTCAATACCAATATGTCATCTAAGAAAGTAAAGATTTCATTACATGCATGGCTAAAACATCAAAAGGAAGCAGTCACTTTTAATTATTCTATGTAATGTATTCCAAAAGGGATAAAGTACTAGAATAGCAGCCACCAGCAAAAACCCAAAAATAACATGGACTCAAAGACGACTTAAAAAAAAAAACAAAAAAACTAAAAGTTGCCATTATACTTAAAAAAATAGATTGCATTCCTTGATTAAATATGTGAAAATGCTGGTTGTAATCCTGCAAAGTTATGCATAATTAAACCCTAGAGATTTCAAATGCAATTTATGAACCGATAGCTGCATGCCACGCTGCAAACCCTGAACACCGTTTACAGATTTATTAACGGAAATAAAAACATCAAAGTCCAAAAGTAGCTTATATTAAGATAGGTGGAGTAAGTTTCTGTGACTCAAACATATCTCTGACGCAATATTTCTTTAATACAATCAGGTTTCATTCAAATAACAGCTACGAGTGGGATCTGACACACTACCTAGGCAAGAAGGGCTTGGTGCAACTTTTACCTGGAAGAAAATTGCCAAACCGTATCACAAACAGATTTGCCAGGAGGAAATGAGTTCTTGGTCCATTTCAATAAGATTACCAGCATCATTTTGGTAATGAAGTTATCTTAGCTGACCAAATACAGGCCTTTCACATATTGGGGCTGCAGCTCCCATAGCCAATAGATAGGGACATGTCCCCCGTATCTTCCCTAGTGGACAATCTGCAGTAGATGTCAATTATTCAAGGTGTACTGCCAGGATCAGAGGGGAATCAGTGTATTTAAATGGTTTCATACATCAACAGAAAGTGAGGTACTGAGCCCCCAAATATCTGTTCTGGAGGGCTAGGCAACCCCAAATACAGCATGGGAGTTAGCACAAAAGGCTTCAGAGGGGAACGACTAAAAATATCCCCCTCCCTCTTCCATAATCAGCACCCTGTACTGTATCATGAGTCCTTCCTTGAACAGAAGAAACCTAACATCTAAGTTATACTCTGTATCTGAGCCACTGTCCTATTTTATGAATATACTCTTCTGAAGCATTTTTGCCACAATAGCTTTATCCTGTTTCACCTCAATACTGTATTGTTAGTGAAAGAAGCTCTTCCAGGGCTCTTCCATCTATATTTTATAAATACTACATGCATTCAAAAAATGTATTGACTGTGAGACTCAAAGAAAGGGTAAATAAAAAAATATTACCTCCTTTTCATGTATACGAAATATATGCTCATCCCGAGAAGTGCTGTTTTTCCCCATACCTATCTTGGGCGACATCTATTGAAGAAAGTTTATACTTAGCACCAACTTTGAAAGCAATTCATCAACAGAAAAATAGTACAAAAACAAATATGACAACACCACCTACCAGCAAAAAGGGTATTGGTTTCTCACGTAAGTACCTGGGATTCTCAAGCTGGAAAAGAGATAATGAGAGTTTTAAGCCTAAGCCTTCTGTGCCAATATTGTTAATATTTAAGCATAAAGTTCAGAAGGGTGGCTAATTCTCACATTTCTATTTAACTTAAGCAGCCTCCTTTCAGAGGAAAGGTGCTTAACATTTTTTTCAAAGGTCAGAGCCTAAACACCACAGGCTGGATTCAAAGTTTTTCCTGTTTGAAACTGAGTGAATTGCTTTTGGCAAGTCACACTCTCACAAATAAACTATTGCATGTGATTATTGTGACGCTTACTCCTTTACCAGAGGTCCTTGGAGGAATATTAAAAAAAATGAGAGAAAATAAACTGATTTCACATTCATATTATTTCACTGATAATCTGCATTTCCTCAAAGGAGATCAAGGTAACCACCTACATATACATCCTCTTAACAAGTGTGGTAGGTTAAGCTGATAGGTAATAAATAACATGGCGACACAACATATCTGCCTTTTTACAGACTCAAAGGACCATTAGACCTTTAAAAACACATCTTTGTTAATAAAACAGTCCAAGAGCTTTTCCTTCCAAACCATAGACTTCTTTCGTTTCAGATACATTACTACAGTGTGACAATGGATATCTATGTGATTCACAACTTTAGAAACTTTGTTAAAAATACTTAATCTACCACTTAACAGTCATCTTATAAAAGTATCAATTTCAGTAAATAACTGGAGGACAGCACTGAACATATAGTTGCCACTCTCATAAAAATGTATCATATGCAAATGCCATGTGTTTGCTTGAGAGGCAATCAACATGGGTAGACAATGTTGAAATTGTCAGTATTGAAAGACATGCATTCAAAAATAGGTCTACAAATTGGGGGCAGAGATATGAAATCAAATCTGTGCTATATCTTACAAAGAGGTCTCAAACTTGCGGCCCATGGGCCAATTGCTGGGACGGGCGGGGCACGGGGGAGCGGACTCGCGGCCTTCAAAGCACCAGCGGTGCCCAGGCCGGCCGCGGGATGAGCGGCCCACCACCACTGCGGTGGTGGAATACTTGATGCGGCCCAGCCTCACCCAGACTCTACTTCCAGCGGCCCCCAGGTAAGTTGAGTTTGAGATCCCTGGCTTACAACATATCACATATTCATTATTTTGTTACAAATAAGGTTATTTTAGAGGGAAATCTTTTAACATGATGATGCTACTAAAGAAACTTATTTTAAATTGAGAGGCTAGGAACTAAAGGCCATGAATTCTAGTTTCTTGTACAATCAATTGTCTTTCAATTTATTACTTGAATTTCAATTTATAACTTCATTTCTTCACAGTACAAGCCAATTTTGAAACCAAGGAATCAAGTGATAATCTACTGGTGCTTCCAGACAAGCCTTGTATGACATTATCACAAAAATATGCAGAAAATCCAAATGAAGCTGTGTTCTTCTTGTGACTGTACTATGTTTTATCATCACTTTTTTCCCTTAAAACAGAAACTATGTTAAGGAGAAAATTATGTGATGACTTCTGACTGCTGGTGCTAGGAGCTCTCCGTTTGAAAGCATCTTGTGTTATTACAAAGGAATTGGTGTTTAAAGGGAAAAACACTAAATATGTGTGCTCCCCACAGCCAAGCTTCTGGACATGTTTAAAATAATACTGGAATCCTGGCCTGTAATATTTTCAGTTCATTTCTCTTTTAGGAGCCCTCATTTAGCACATCAGTTGATTTTGTTTCCTTCCTTCCAAAGACATTATTAAATACAACATTTTGGTCACTCTCCTAAAGCACCTGTCCATTCTCCATGTCACATGAAGTGCACGTCATGAGCTGATTCTGATGCACCAAAACTAAATATATGGAGCTACAATGAAAAGGGGATTGAAAATGCCAGCCAATGTCAAGTGTTCCTGATCCCTCTGTAAACTCTAATTCTACCCTGTATGCTAACATTAAAATATGCATTTCTCCAACTATTCCTAAGGCAGCCATAGAAAAACACTTAGTACATTCAGGGCATAGGAGACTTAAAGAAGGGAATGCTAGAGTTCCAATTCCACATTCTGAAGACTCTTTAGTACAATACGTAAGATGAACCTAAATTAATATATTTCTCTGCTTTGACTATGTGGCCTCAAAATGATAGTATTTTTTTCTATTTAAACAACCAAACAGTGACATGGTACATGCACAATGAAGACCATAGAGAATGAAAGCAGACCTTTATCTTACAATGTTGTAACCCTACAGGCAGGACTTAACTTTGGTTTTATCTTATTGTATAGCATTTTGACTTGTAAGTGCTTTATAAAAACTGCATACAGTCTTAAAACATTTTTCTGACTTTATTTCCTTTATGAAGAACTTCAGTTGTAAATTTGTGGAAATGACTAATACACAATCTACTTCAACAATGGAATTGTTTCTTTCATATCCCCATCTTTATTTAAAAGTTTTCATTTTGTGAAGAAGTATTAATGAAAATGAAAACTATTAATGAAAATGAAAACTGAGCTAGTTTGCATATTTATTTGGCATGAAATGCAATAAATGCATTCTAAAATAAGCCAATAAATGTGAAAGGTAAATAGAACTTATTTACAAATGGACAAATGTGGCTGCTCAACACAAAAACCTGTATATTCCAATTTAGTAAAAGCAGTACTTTGAAGTTAAATTCTTCCAGTCTGTAACCTACTCATCTGTAAGCATTCTGTATCTCACTGCTCATTCCTTTCTCCCTACTCTACACAATTTTCCATTTCTCACATAATACCACAGTAAAAGGACAGTCACAATAGATGCCACACATAAGAACAATGCAATACAAGTATGTAACATCTAAGATCATATTTGCTGATTTGAACAAACAGACAATACTATACAAAGAAAACTTTAAAATAAGCTGAGTGCAGAAAGTTGCTTGGGAAAATTTCATTTGGAAGTTTTAGGTTTTCTTAATATTTCCAGTGTTCTATAGCTACCCAATACCAATTATGAAAGCAGCCCTCCATCCTCTTCAAGTAAGCTCGCTAGCAGCCCATACACATGATATGCAGAGATCTTGAATAAGAAATTCAGGTTGCTTACCTGTTGTTCTTCAGGTGGTCATCTGTGCATTCACACAACCTGCCCACCAGCCGCACTTGGTGTCAAAATTCAAAATGACTGACCCCCTCCGACAAAGACACACAGGGGCACCGGACAGTGCAACACTTCTCCCTCGGTCCTAGGACCTATTGACATTGCTGAGGGAATGGGCTGGAAACCCCTCCATGTGCGCATGGAGCAGCAAGGGGAGTCCCTCCTGGGCAAACACTTGCCTGTGGAATCTTCCCAGCAACAAGCTCCATGCAAGTGCAGATCCCATATGAGTGCATGTACAGATGACCACTAAAAGAATGAAAGTTACAGGTAAGCAACCTGACAGAAGTCTAACTACAGAACTCCCTCCAAAAGGAGTTGAAATTGTCTTCCTCCTCATTCTGCTTTAGACAGGTAGTAAAAACTTTCAGACTTTTAATGATTTTGACACTCTTTGATTGTAATGGTGTTCATAATTTTAACTGCATATTCTTTTGTAACGTTTAAATGTTTTTACTGTATATGTGGCCTGCTAGGTGGAAGGTATGGTTTTATAAGTCAAATAAATCAATAAATACTACCTTAACTTTTGTTAACTGCCCAGAGAGACTTGAGTATTATATGGTATAAAAATGAAATAAATAAAAGCTATTAAGCTGTGTGAGAAGTTTTGGGAGGTCTTTTAAAGACTTTTTCTGAATGGTTACAATGTCACAATTTATCTTACTGTACAACAAAAAACTTGGCAGAACAAGACAACATTTGGTTAAGAGCTATCAAACATCCAGCTTTTATTATTGAGGTAAAGCAACCAATACCATTCACTCAATAGCCACAAAACAAAGAACTGCAAAATTGACTCAACCCTCCCAAGACAGTTTTGGATGTGTGTGCTTTTTTAAATTAAGGTTCTGCCAGCATCTTGTATGAGCAACTATTTTCAAAACTGAGGAGACTTTCACAAACTATGCAGGAGCTTGGGTTGCCAAATTAACTCTTTGGATCCCTTATATAAAAAACAGGTTGAGATAAAAGGAGGTATATTATCAGACACACACAAGGACTTCTGCTTGTCTAGTGGAATCATTTATTTATTTAAAAAGATTCCCAAGGTCATGTCAAGAATTGCCTTTGAAAACCTTCATTTCAAAAGAAGCTTTCTATACAGCATGATTTCATGGTTTGTTTCATGCTTCTTTGGATTCGGGCCATAAATACTTCAGAAAGACATGCCTTTATTTTCCAGCTATTTTGCCTGTATTTTTAAAAAATAAAACTACTTTTAATGTTTTGAGGGTTTATTTTTCAGGAATTTGTTTTTAAACAGAACCACCTTCCTGTGTCTTGAAGGAGATATAAAAAAGGGTTTCACATATACTCATTTGTAGTATCTATTCTTCTGACAGCATGTGAATGTGCCTTTCCCTTTGCAGCCATTACAGAAAGGAGGCCAGGGCTGTAGCCTCAGAAGGCATGTCCTATTGCTCCCATCACACTTCTTTTGCTGAAGAACAGAGATGAAGAAACCTCAGCAAATGATCCAACTCAGCTACTCAAAGCTACAAAACTTTGAATATTTTACATTCTGCACTGAAGATAGTTTTGGTGCATCATCCAGTATGCCTGCAGTGAAAAACTATGTCTGCCTCACACATAAAACTGGAGAAGCAAGAAGATACTCCATAGAGTTATACAGCCTGGAAAGAAAGATTAGACTTACATATAAGAAGCATTCTTCAAGTGGCTCTACAGTACAACCACAAAATCTTCCAAAGCTTCATGAGAATGCAAAAACATTCCTTTTTTCTCACCTTTCTGCACATTAAGGGGATCTGGGGCATGCCAATGCCCTTTTTGCTCCTTCAACTCAGTTGCTACAGAAAAAAGCTGCAACTTCACAGCCCCTATTGCAGGGCAGGTAAGAATATTGTGTGACTA